ATCTTTGATTTTTTTCTTCAAGTACTTAAAGTTCTTGTCACACAGGTCTTCCACTTATTTGGTTAGAGTTATCCCAAGGTATTTTATATTATTTGTGGCTATTGTAAAGGGTGATGTTTCTCTGATTTCTTTCTCGGCCCATTTATCATTTGTATATAGGAAGGCTATTAATTTTTTTTAGTTAATCTTGTATCCCACCACATTACTAAAGGTGTTTATCAGTTGTAGAATTCCCTGGTAGAATTTTTGGGGTCATTTGTATATACTATCATATCATCTGGAATAACAAATTTCAACACCTTCCTTTCCAATTTTTATCACCTTGATCTCCTTTGGTTGTCTTATTGCTCTAGCTAGAACATCAAGTACTATATTAAATAGATATGAGGAGAGTGGATAGCTTTGTCTTGTTCCTGATTTTAGTGGAATCGCTTTGAGTTTCTCTCCATTTAATTTGATGTTGGCTGTCGGCTTACGGTAAATTACCTTTATTATGATTAGGTATGTTCCTTTTACAGAACAGGTAAACTCAGCATTCTCAGGGGTCTTTGAAGAATAAGGAGCTGAGGTGGATGTGTCACATACATCTGACAGAAATACAGTGAAGGGAAGGAAGCCCAATCTGCCTCTTCTTGTCACTCATCTATCTGAGTCCAAGTACTCTCAGCTATGAAAATGAGGCTCAGCAGATTAACTTTCAGGGATTGTGGGAAGGCTAAACACAAAACTATACTACTAGAAATGAGAACGTCAATGGAGTTCACACACAACTGTTTCAAATGAATTTCAGGTATTATCACATTTGTCAACTATGGAAGAACTACAACCAGTGCAGGCTGCCTACAAGGCTGTAGACAGCTGTTGTGGAAAAAGCTGGCTGGACATGAACAGCACCTTCTTCACATTTATAGAGTTTCTGGGATGTGTAGGTGACCCTGAGATTTCTGAGTCAGGTGCTGGCCCTTGGGAGCAGACAGGGTGCCATTCAGTTCTTTTTACAGAGTGAGCAGGGCCGTGTTGTCAGTGTCTACCTAAGGTGTTTACCCTAAGCCCTGTATGTGTCCTGGGACCACATGAAGATGCTGCCCAGGCTTCTTGTCCTAACTGCCTTGGGCCTCCCAGTATGAGGGTAAGTTTCTTTTCATCTTACCAAAAGTGCTTTTGTTGAGTGACAAGTGCTCTTGACTTGAATGATAGACAGGCTTCCAGGGTCCTCTTTGCTAGAAAATGGAAGTAGCTTTGCTATTTTGTGACATTGCTCTGGAGTAGACAAATCACTATTCAAATTAGCCTAATACCAGTGTATTTGACACTCCACATATTAGTACTGCATTATTGACTGTTCTATTGCTCTAAAAAGACACCATGACCATGAAAATCTGATGAATGAAAGCATTAGTTGGGGTTGCTTACAGTTTCAGAAGTTTATAATCATTTTTGTGGTGAGGCAGACACGGCACTGGAGCAATCGCCAAGAGTTCTACATGCTGATCCATGGGTAGCAGGAAGAACGACACTGAGCCTGGCTTGGCTCCACCTAAGTGACTTATTTCCTCCAACAAGGCCACACCGACTCCAACAGGGCCCCACCTCCTGATCCTTCTCAAGTATGGCCATTGTCTAATGACTAAGCATTCTGTGCCAGGTGCAACAGAAGTGAGTAAAGTAGGGAGACCTCCCACTTTGATGCTGTGACATTGGAGCTGAGACTTTATAACAGGTTACAGACAAACTTGGGGACAGCCTTTGACTGGAAGCTGAGGGAGGACACTAAGCTTCATCTGGGAACTCACAGTAGGCCTGAGGGCCCAGGGTAGAAGATGCAGAAATCAGGAGCTTGTGGTGAGCACCCAGCACTGCACTCACATGCAGAAAGCACCATCAAATGTCAATTAATTCCATCTGCTCATAAAAAAATGACAACTCAGTTGTAAGTAAAGTGATTCAATCTGAAACCTCTGTGTTCTTTTTTCAAATATGGCAAACAGATCCTGGAAGGAAATGAATAAGGGACATAACCTGGGTCCCAGTGTCAGTGGATTCTTCTGCCTAGATGTGTTCACTGCTCTGCAGCCCTCCTAAAGGCCCTGTTAAAGTGGAGAAAAATGCCACTGTGGAGATATTGGGGACAAAGAGACCTCTCTGATATGGGGGTCTCAGGCAAACAAGGTGCTGCTGTCTTTTATATCAAATAGTTGCAGCGGTGTGTTTTCTTTTTTTAATCCCTAAACAAATAATTAATAAATAAATGAATTCAAAATGAAAAAGAACTAGAGGAATAATTAAGGGATAAGGAAAACTGCTGCGGCAACTACCTTGTCTCAAATTAACAAGACATCAAATGAAAATATTATTAAGTTAAATGAGCTTTAAAAAGAAGGGTTTTTTTTCATTTTGAATTTGTTTATGTGGGAGGCTGAGACCAGAGATGTCTGTGGTTCTTCTCTATCACTTGCTAGAGAACGTGTGAGGACGTGAAAATCCAAGGGTCTCTAGGCCTGTGGTGGGTATGAGTGGCTGTTGTCACTGATCATACTTGGGAGGTGTTCAGAATTTGTTTGTGGCATGTCACAGCTCATTCTCAGGTGTCACAATGGTTGGCATTTTGTGGATTTGCTGGGTTTCATTGGCCTTATAGGTCTGGGCTAGGAGTGTATGAAAAAGAGGTAACAAGAGGCTCACATGCAGTGACTTCCATGAGTTGTTCTGAGTCCTTAGGCATTGGAGGGCTCTTTTGCCTACGGAGGGAAAAAGATGACTGGAAATCTTGAGGATATTAAGAAAAGAGAAAACCCAGGGAGAACAGACAAATGCACGCCCACCAAATCAACTCCCATGTAAGGATGGAGACACCCTGCTCTTCAGAGAGCTCCTGGGCTTCCAAAGAGAAAGGGAACCCTCTAGTGTCTACATTCCTGTGAGGGCCCGTCACCCTTGCTCTGGGTGAGACTGCATCTGGAAAAGAGACACTTGCAACCTATATTCAGGAAGCTTCCTGGTGGTTCTGTGGTCCCAATAGTAGGCCTAATGGGATTTCCTTCAGTGAGTCCCTAATTTGAGATCAAAGATAGGCAAAAACTCAATGCCAATTGCAATGAGAGAGGCAGAGCCTTGGATTTGTTTTACACCATTCAATGAACTCTCACACAGCACTCCTAACATACTTTTCCCAAAGCATGAAGGGAAAGGCCACTCACCTGTTGCACTCTGGTGAGGCCAGCTGTGGCCTAGCTTATAACTGAGAGCTTGCCAAGAAGTAAGAGCAGCAAATGATTACTGTGTTATATGTGTTTAGCTATGCAAAGATGGGTTTTTTTTTTGTTTTTTTTTTGTTTTTTTTTGGTTTTTCGAGACAGGGTTTCTCTGTGTAGCTTTGCGCCTTTCCTGGATCTCACTCTGTAGACCAGGCTGGCCTCGAACTCACAGAGATCCGCCTGGCTCTGCCTCCTGAGTGCTGGGATTAAAGGCGTGCGCCACCACCGCCCGGCTTGCAAAGATGGGTTTTATTTGTTTAACTATGTAAAGATGTGCTGCATTTGTTTATGTTGCACAATATTTGTTAACTATATAAAGATGTATTGCATTCATTTAATTATGTAAAGATGTGTTGCTGCTTTACCTTGCCTGCCTAACACCCCTGATTCGATTGGTATATAGCTGAACAGCCAATAGTAAGGGAGGAGGTATGGGGGCAGTTTGAGGCAGGGAGAGTAAATAGTAGTAGGAATTTAGGCTAGGAGAACAAAGAAAAATGCCAGGGAGATGCCAGGAAGACCCAAGGGCGATGCCAGGGGCCAGCCATCCAGACGTGGAGGAAGCAGGAGAAGTAGGACACACAGAAGAAAAAAAAGGTGAAAAGATCTGAAGCAAAATATAGATGAATAGAAACAGGTTAAATTAAGTTAAAAGAGCCAGTGGGACAAGCCGATACTAAGGCTGAACATTCACAATTAATCATAAGTATCTGTGTTGTTATTTGGAAGCTAATTTGTGGCCCAAAGAAAATTCCAACTAAAATTGATTACCTGTAACCAGAACCAAAAGATCTTAGAATTTCATTCTGTCCACAAAATACCTCATATAACGTGGCTTTTAATTAGGAGGATGGTCAGGTACCTTATCCTCATACTCAAATTGCCCCTCTTAGAGTACTTCCTGAGTACTTTCTTTCTCAGTTGTTTGGATTTCACTGACATTGCTTTTTTGAGGAATAAAAAGTTTTAAGAAGGACTCCGCCCAAGTCCACAATACTTCAGTGGTCCTGGGGAGGGACAACTCTGAGCCACTTCCTCAAGCGATCTTTTCTTGGGGTGTTCCTGAAAGGAAGCACAGAAGGATATGAACCAACTGTAGTAATCCCTGTGAGTCTCCCAGCACAGCAGCGCACAAAGGTCTTCATGGATGATGCCCAAATAGACACATCCCCTCTTCTACCTGCTATGCAGAGTGCTGGGGAGGAATCATGACTTTTACTTCACAGATAAGGATGTCACAGTCTAATAACAAAAGAAGGTTACAAGTGACCCAAAGCTAGGAAACATGGACACAGAAATGGGTTTGTGGGGCTAATATCCCATTTGTCTTGGTTCCTACTAGCAGAGCCCCAACATTCCTCTTCAGACATGAGTTCTTTTCAGAAAGACTGTTAGGGGTAAATAGGTCAACTAGGAGAGAGATGAATGCATGAATGGTGGTGGGTAGAGAGGGTCATGCCGAGTGAAAATGGATGCTATGTTGATGAGAGGAGACTAGCTACGATGGATTTCTGCTGTGACAAGGACACACTGACAGGCTGGGAGGGAGACTTGCACAGGGTACTCAGGACTAATGTCAGAGATGTGACATGGTTAGGGAGATGAGCAAAGGTGGCTAAGAACAGACCCAAATGATTCAGGTACTTATGACCAAAGGAGTGCTATGGGAGAGTGCAGAGCACTCCATCTGATGCTCAGATGTCTGGGAAACACAAGGTCAGAAAGAGACAGCAGTGGCACCAAGAACACTGTTGTAGACAGACTTTATTTCCCCTGACCCTCAGGTCACAACCAAGGCCTGTGACATTACATTCCCTGTAGCACTGGGCGGGCAGGTGCAGGGAGGCATTGCTGTGCATCTTCTCTTAGGACGTCTGTGCCATTCTTGCCAACAGGGCGAAAAGCTCCTCAAGGTTGTACTTCTCCTCCTTCTCCTTATTGTCCAATTGCTTTAACAGGTCTTGCGAAAACTCTGACTTCTGTGGGTAGAAGGCAGATGGATGTTAGCACTGACCATGTCCAGGGAAGAGGACCAAGGAGCACATTGAGTGAGGGCAAAAGCACAGGAAAGCTGGCCCAGGAGCTCCTCACTATGAAACAAATACTAAACACAGGCTAAAGCTTTCCAATTGGCTCCTGGAGGCACTCCAAGTTCAGAGCTACAACTCTCTTTAACAGAATGAGGACAGACAATAAGTATAGAAAATCCCACAATCCTCATTACAATAACTTCAACATGCAGAAGGGCATCTTCTTGGAGGTGGACTGGGGAAGACTGTCCTTGTAGAAACTGGGTGGATTTACACTTGTGGAGGCTGGGAGGAGAGCAGAGGAGGGATAAACTCATTCTGACTTGGAGGCATTGCTGCTCCCCACTCCACTCTTCTAGTAGCTCCTCCCTCTTCATTTCCCTTGGAGTCAACTAGTTAGTGGATTGCACTCAGGCTACTCAGTGGGAAGCACTGAGGGAAACAAGCCTGCATGGGCCTTGAAGGGGTGGAGTATTCGAGGTTCTAAATGTGGTGGTAAGCTGTGTGTAGGGTCTCATGTGAGGGAGCTCATGTGAAGTGAAGGATCTTAGTATGTCTAAGAACACTACCAGCTGCAGCTCTCCCACTCACTGGCTGGAACACCATGGCTAAGTCTCTCCCAGAACCTAGTGGCCCATGATCCAGGTGTCTGCATAGGGAGGAGAGGTCGTGGAGGGATCTTGCAAAGGACAACTCTCTGCAGAAGCTTCCTGTGCACCCTTTACCTCTGCCTGACACAGCAATTGGACTTGCTGAGTCTTCACTTACGACAAGCTATCAACTGGGTCTGGAAAGATCATGCAGCAGTTAAGAACACTCACTGCTCTTGCAGAGGACATGGGTTCCGTTTTCATGGTGGCTCACAAGCATCTGTGTTCCAGTTGAAGAGAACCAAGTCCCTAAACTTGCCTCTACAGACAGCAATCACACACACACGCACACACACACACACACACACACACACACACACACACACACACACACACACGGCACATGCATAACTTACACACCAAATCATCATATACATAAAATGAAATAATATATCTTCAAAAAAAGGAAGTAGGAGCTGTAGATGTCACTAATACTGTCCAAAATAAAAAAGTTCCACCTTAAGCGTGTCCAAGGGAGGCTGGGGCCTTGCTCTCAGATCTTAATCTTAGAAATGAAAAATGGAGACTAGGATCTATGTGTCATATCTCTCTTCACACATGCCTGTTTCCACAGGTTTAAAAGAGAATAATAACGATGTTCGAATGTACTTTCCATGTGTTCTTTTATTCCTGCATTTACTACCCTAGAACCTCAGGGCAATAGCAGCCCCCTAGGTCTGCTCCAAGTACCCAGCTGAGGCTTAGTGTCCCTCAACTGACCAGTCAAGAGCCATCTTGGAATATGTCCTTTAAAAGGGACCTGGAGTCAGCTCAAATGTTCCTGCTTCAGAGTGAAATGTCCATCTCTTTTACCATAACCATTAACCTATGCTCCTTCCAATGAAAACCACCCACTCTAGCCTCCCGGCTACTTGGGCATTGGAATTAATGTATTCGGAATTTTGTGCTTCTCTGTCTTTGGTGGACTATGTCCCTCTGTCGAGAACTTGGTGTCACACAGTACGCTCCAGCTACAGTTGCCTGAGGGTCAGTATCTAACCATGAGCACCTCTAGTGACTGAACCCTGGTTGACTCTGGATGTAAAGAGCTTGAACTTTCTCTCTGACTGTTGCAGAGTGTGCCCCCCGCACTCTGGAAGAAGCCCTACCTTGACGAAATTTGGTAGTTCCTTTACAATGAACTCTTTCAGTTGCTCTTGGGTCATTTCTATAGGGTACCTATCAGAGTACAGGTTGAAGACATGGATGATGTTTTTTATGAGGTTTTCCACTGAGGAAAAATCTTGATCCATTTTAACCTGAAGAACAGAAAGGTAAAGGTTACAAGGAGCAGAATGAACTTTCATCATTCCTTGACCTGTCTCCTGGATCTAGCAGAATAGAGGTGGGGAGAATATCAAATAAAAGAGAAAGAAATTGTTCCCTTTGTTCAATAGAACTCTTGTTGGTCTGATGTGAAAATGAGATTTTAACCCACTGGAGAAATTCTAGAGTAAAGCATTTTGTAGCATAAGGCTCTTAGAAATTGTGAAGAAAGAAACAAACCAGGTAAAATGAGGGCTCCCAGGAGGAGGGTTTTGACGGATGTTGGATAAAGCAAGAGAAGAAGGAGGAGGAGGTAATCCCCCTCCAGGAGGATCTGTAGCCCACTTACCAAAGCTGAGGAGCTGCACAAAGTGCTTGACATCACAGGTGCAGGCCAGCTTTTATAGGCAGCCCCTAGCTGGACATAGGACTCTCCTTGGGAAAGACTCAATCCTAAGTGAAGAATGTGCTGATCTGCCAAGGATGGAGTTGGCCAGGACCTTCCTCTCCTACCCCTCCCCTTTATCACTCCCTTGCCTACTCTTTGTTCTCTCCCCCTCCCAATCCTGGAGCTGGATTGAGAGGATGCTGTGAGGTCATTTCCACCCCTCCTCTTCATTTTCTTGAGCAAGACAGCCTGCCTGACACTCTTCCCATTCCCTCTCGAACCATCAGAGGCAGGCTGGCCATCAATGGGAGCTGACCCAATCTGCCTCCCCCACAATCCATTCTGTCCCTCCTGTTTATAGAATGAGTCCTACCCCTTGCTTCCTCGATCTGTTAAATGCTCTTAAAAGGATGAATTGTATTGATGGAATAGAGATCAAGGTTAAAGATTGTGAGAGTTGATAAATATCTTGTATTTTAGAAGAATTTAATATCTAGAAGGTACTGGGCAAGAACACATAGCCAGTAGGTTACCCAACAGGAACAGGTCTCAGATATCCAGGTTGTTGGTTAAGTGAAATTCTGTGCATCCCCTCTCTGTTGTAGAGTGGGTAATGATCCTTGTACAAATGTGGTTCCAGAATTCCTAGGATCACCTCCTAATCCTAGTCCTCATTTGTGCCCAGCTCTCCCAGGAGATTTCTATTTTGTTTTTAAATTACTATTGTTAGAGTATATTATATTAGCTCTACAAAGTAAGGGGTTTTATTGTGACATTTCATGGACATTCAATGCACTGGTGTCCTATTTACCCACCATATCAGCCTTCCTTATCTCCACTCTCCATTATTCCACATGCACAATAGTGTGACTTCTACTCCCAAAACAGTTTCCCCTGCAGACAACATACAAAACTCATCTTTGTGAGACTGGTCTATTTTTCTTAACATGACAATCTTTACATGTTCCAAACACATTCCATCTCTTTTCCTGAAAAGGACATGTTTTGATTGTTTCTGTGACTGAATTTAACTCTACTAGGTATATTGAACATGGAACAGAGGAGTCCTTATCCATTCATTCATCTGTGAATGGACACCTAGGTTGATCACATGTCTTAGAAACTGTAAATACCTCATTTTAAGTTATGTGCAGAGCCATGTAACAAAAGCAGCATCAAGCTGAAAAAAACAGATGCAGATCAATGAGACAGAATAGACAATCCAGGCATGAACCCACGCAGCTACATCATCTGAATTAATATGTTTTTGAGATTTTGTTTATTTTTATTCTATATGTCTACTTGTTTTGTCTGGAAATATGTCTGTGCAGTATGTGTATTCAGTGCTCAAAGAGAACAAAAAAAGGCATTGGATCCCCTGGAATTAGAGTGACAGATGACTGTTGGCTACTATGTGGGTGATAAGTATTGAATCCACGTCTTCTGGAAGAACAGCCAGGGCTCTTAATCATTGAGCCATCTCCCAGCCTCACATATCTTATTTTTGACAAGTTTCCAAAAATACTGACAGAAGAAAAGCAGCCTCATTGACAAATTGTGCTGGGAAAACTGGATATCTACATGTAGAGGGATGGAATTGGATGCTTATCTCTCATCCTGTTCAAAATCAATACAATGGATTAGAGACCTTAACTAAAACCTCAGCCTCCATAACTACTAGAAGGAAAAGATTGGGAAATCTTTCAGATGTAAGGATGGGTAAGGAGACTGTAACTAGAACATCAATTGCTCAATAAATAAGGTCAGGAACTGGCAAGGGAGACCTCATGAAATTAACAAAAAATCTGTACATCAAGTAAGAAGTTAACTAGATGAAGAGACTGCATGCACAATAGGAGAAAATCTTTGCTGGACAGGTTAGCAATATCTACAATATAAAAGATCAAAACATCACCAATAACAAAAGAAACAATCCAATGAGGACATAGACTAAGGAACAGAATAGAATGTTCTCAAAGGAGAAAGAAAAGAGATATTGTTAAAAGTTCTTAACTTCCTTGGCCATCAGGAAAATGCAGATTGAAATTACTTTGGCATCTCATCCCCAGTCCTTTCATAATGGCTATCTTTAAGAAGACAAAAGACAATAAAAGCTGGGAGGGTGAGGAGAGAAGACTCCTTAGTCACTGGGGGTAAGGGTGTACACTGGAATAGCAAAGATGTGGAAGCAAGTGTAGAACTACCATAGGACCCAGATACATCACCCCTGGGCATATGCCCAAAAGATTGCCATGCTATTAGAGGGATACCTGCACATCTGTGCTTATTGCTACTGTGTTCCTAATAGAAAGAGAATGACATCAGCCTAAAGTCATCAACCGATGAATGAAATATGAAAATAGGTTACATATACAAAATGCCATCTTATGTCACAAGGACATTTCCTGTCATAAAGAAAGAAAATTATAAAATTTCCAAGAAAAAATACATTGAATTGAAAAATATTGTATTGTGAGGTAACTCAGACTTGGAAAGTCAAATACTTCATGTTCTCTCTTATACGGTGAATTGTGAGGGGTAGTTTTGATTTTAAATTTGGCAACATCTCAAATCACGTAGTAGTCACACTTCCAGTAACAACTGAAGGGGATTATTTTGATTATCTCAGCCTTCTGTTATTCCTGTTGAGAATAACTTGCTGAAGTGAATTCCGATGAGAAGACCCAATCTAAATGGGGGAAACAATGAGTTCCCTAGGGTTGCATCTGGAGTTTGACAAGGATAGTATGTAGGAGGGATAGTCTCTGTCCTTATGCAATGGAGAGATTTAATCAATGGGACTCAAACTTTTGGATATATTTCCCCACAGGTCACTTTGAGGCTTAATGAAAGGTCTGAGGAGCCCTCACCAAAGACTTAGAAACAGGATGTGACCAGTGAGTGGAAAAGCTGGTTGTTATCCACATTCTTCATTAGAGAACAGGTAAACTCAGCATTCTTCAGAGGTCTTTGAAGAATAAGAAGCTGAGCAGATGTGTCATATACATCTGACAGAAATACAGTGAAGGGAATGAAGCCCAATATGCTTCTACTTGTCACTCAGTCTGTCTGAGTCTAAGTACTCTCAGCTATGAAAATGAGGCTCAGCAGGTTTTCTTCCGGGGATTGTGGGAAGGCGAACCACAAAACTATACTACTAGAAATGAGAATGTCAACCGAGTTTGCCCACAACAGTTTCAAATGGATTTCAGGTATTATTACATTTGTCAACTTTGGAAGCCTACCACCAGGACAGAGTGCCTACAAGGGACCAGGAGTATCTTCTGGTTGTAGACTGTTATTGTATAAAAGGCTCACTAGACACAGACATCACCTTCTTCATATTTATAGAGCTCCTGAAACGTATAAGTGACCCTGAGATTTCTGAGACAGGTGCTGGCCCTTGGGAGCAGACAGGGTACCATGCTGTCCTGGGTTCCCCTTTTACAGAGTGAGCAGAGTAATGTTGTCAGTGCCTAGATGGGCTGCTGACCCCTCTCAATGAGGGCATCCTGGGACCACATGAAGATGATGCCCAGGCTTCTTGTCCTAACTGTCCTGGGCCTCCCAGTATGAGGGTAAGTTTCCTCTGCTCTTAGCAGAAGTGCTTTTGTTGAGTGACAAGTGCCCTTGAGTTCACTGATAGACAGGTTTCCAGTGTCCTTTTGACTAGAGGATAGAGTGGTTTGCTATTTTGTGGCATTGCTATTGAGTAGACAAATTACTATTCAAAGAGAATTACAGACCAGTCTCCCTCATGAATGTTGATGCAAAAATGCTCAATAAAATACTGGCAAACTAAATCCAAGAACACATTTAAAAAAATCACCCAACATGATCAAGTACGCTTCATCCAAGGGATTCACAAATGGTTCAACATATGAAAATCTGTCTATATAATACATCATATAAACAAACTGAAAGAAAAAAAACACTTGATCATCTCATTAGATGCTGAAAAAGCCTTTGAAAAATCAAACACCCCTTCATGATAAAGGTCTTAGAGACATCAGGAATAAAGGAACATACCTAAACATAATAAAGGTAATTTAAAGAAAGTCAACAGCCAACATCAAATTAAGTGGAGGGAAACTCAAAGTGATTCCACTAAAATCAGGAACAAGACAAGGCTGTCCACTCTCCCCATAGCTATTCAATATAGCACTCGAAGTTCTACCTAGAGCAATAAGACAACAAAAGGAGTTCAAGGGGATACAAATTGGAAAGGAAGAAGTCAAATTATGCTATTTGCAGATGATATGATAGTGTACATAAGTGACCCCAAAAAATTCTACCAGGAAACCCCTACAAGTGATAAACACCTTCAGTAATGTGGTGGAATAAAAATTAACTCAAATAAATTAGTAGTCCTCCTATATACAAATGATAAACAGACTGAGAAAGAAATCAAAGAAACATCACCCTTTACAATAGTCACAAATAATATTTACAAATAATAATAACTCTAACCAAATAAGTGAAAGACCTGTATGACAAGAACTTTAAGTCCTTGAAGAAAGAAATCAAAGATGATGTCGGAAAATGAAAAGATCTCCAATGCTCATGGACAGATAGAACCAACATAATAAAAATGTCAATCTTACCAAAAGCAATCTACAGATTTAATGCAATCCCCATCAAAGTCCCAACACAATTCTTCATAGACCTCAAAAGAACAATTCTCAACTTCATATGGAAAAACAAAAAACACAGGATAGCTAAAACAACCCTTTACCATTAAGCAACTTCTGGAGGCATCACGATCCCTGACTTCAAGCTCTACTATAGAGTTATAGTAACAAAAACAGCTTGGTATTAGCATAAAAACCAACATGTTGACCAATGGAATCAAATTGAAGACCCTGACATTAATCCACACACCTATGAATACCTGATTTTTGACAAAGAAGCCAAAACTGTACAATGGAAAAAAGAAAGCATCTTCAACAAATGGTGCTGGAATAACTGGATGTCAACATGTAAAAAATTACATGTAGATCCATATCTATCACCATGCACAAAACTCAAGTCCAAGTGGATCAAAGATCTCAATAAAAATCCAGCTACACTGACTCTGATAGAAGAGCAAGTAGGAAGTACTCTTGAACGCATTGGCACAGGAGATCACTTCCTGAATATAACACCAGTAGCACAGACACTGAGAGCAACAATTAATAAATGGGACCTCCTGAAACTGAGAAGCTTCTGTAAGGCAAAGGACATGGTAAATAAGACAAAATGACAGCCTACACAATGGGAAAAGACTTTCATTAACCCTGGATACGACAGAGGGCTGATCTCCAAAATATATAAAGAACTCAAGAAACTAAACATCAAAATAACAAACAATCCAATTTAAAAAGGGGCTACAAAAAATGTTTTTAAATGGGCTACAGATCTAAACAGAGAATTCTCAACAGAAGAATCTCAAATGGCCAAAAGACATCCAAGGAATTGCTCGACATCCTTAGTCATCAGGGAAATGCAAATCAAAATGACTCTGAGATACCGTCTCACACCTGTCAGAATGGCTAATATCAAAAACATTGATGACAGATTCTGTTGGAGAGGATGTGGAGCAAGGAGAACACTCCTCCACTGGTGGTGGGAGTGCAAACTTGTACAGCCACTTTGGAAAACAGTATGTCGACTTCTCAGAAAATTGGGAATCAGTCTTCCTCAAAACCTAATGATACCACTCTTGGGCATATACCCAAGGCATGCTCAATCACGCTACAAGGACACATGCTCAGCTATGTTCATAGCAGCATTATTCATAATAGCCAGGACCTGGAAACAACATAGATGCTTCTCAACCGAAGAATGGATAAAGAAATTGTGGTACATATACACAATGAAGTATTACTCAGCTGTAAAAAATAATGACATTATGAAATTTTCAGGCAAATAGATGGAACTAGAAAATATCACCCTGAGTGAGGTAACCCAGACTCAGAAAGACAAACATGGTATGTACCCACTCATAAGTGGATACTAGATGTAAAGCAAAGGATAACCAGACTACAACCCACAGCTCCAGAGAAGCTAGAAAACAAGGAGAACCCTAAGAGGGAAGCATGGATCACCTTGAGAGGGGGAAACATATGAGATCTCCATGAGTAAACTGGAGACGGGGCGGGGGGGGCGGGGGCAATAGAGGGGAAGGGATGGGGCATGAGAACATGAGGGAATGGGATGGTCGAGCTGGAGTAGGGATGGAGTGGGAGAGTAATGAAAGAGATATCTTGATTGAGGGAGACGTTATGGAGTAAGAGAGAAACCTGGTGCTAGGGAAATTCCCAGGAATCCACAAGGATAACCCCAGATTAGACTACTAGCAATAGTGGAGAGGGTGCCTGAACTGGTCTACTCCTCTAATCAGATTGGTGAAAATCCTAACTGTCATCACAGAGCCTTCATTCAGTAACTGATAGAAGCAGATGCAGAGATCCACAGACAAGCACCAGACCAAGCTCTTGGAGTCCAGTCAATGACAGGGAAGAGAGGTTGTATGAACTAGCAAGGAGGGGGGGGTGTCAAGATTATGATGAGGAAATCTACAAAGACAACTGAACCAAGTCCATAGTAACTCATGAACTTTAGACCGACTGCTGTGGAACTTGCATGGGACCGAATTAGGCCCTCTGCAAAAGGGAGACAGTTGTGTAGCTTGGACTGTTTGGTGGGCCCCTGGCAGTGAGATCAGGATCTATCCCTGGTGCATGAGCTTGGCTTTTTGGATCCCATTCCCTATGGTGGGATGCCTTGCTCACCCTTGATGCAGGGGGAGGGGCTTGGTCCTGCCTCAAGGGAATGTACTAGGCTTAGCTGACTCCCCATGGGAGGTCTTACCCTTTTGGAAGAGAGGATGGGAGTGGGGGAGGGAAGGCTGGGAGGAGCAGGAGGAGGGATGAGAGGGGGATCTGTGGTTGGTATGTAAAATGAATTTTAAAAAATTAATTAAAAAAAAAAACAGAACTCGCTTCTTCGGGAAAACACCAAATGGCCAAAAGGATTCCCCCATGGCTTCCACGAAGGATTTGGAGGAGGTCTTGGGGGCCCTTGGGGGTCATGGTCATGCTTCAGGACTTGGCATTCTTGGAGGTGAAGCCAAAGACATGGAATGGATCCCCATCACCAAGCTGAGCCACCTGGTCAAGAACACGAAGATCAAGTCCCTGCCTGAGATCTACCTGTTCTTCCTGCCCATTAAGGAATCTGACATTATTGACTTTTTTCTGGGCATATTCCTAAAGGATGAGATTCTAAAGATAGCTCCAGTGTGGAAGTAGAGTCTGGCTAGCCAGTGGAGCAGGTTCAAGGCTTTTGTCACTTTTGGGGAATATAATGGTCACGTTTGTCTTGGTGTTAAGTATTCCATGGAAGCAGTCACTGCCATCCAAGAGGCCATCATCTTGGTCAAGCTTTCCATCATCCCTGTGTGGAGAAGCTACTACTGAAGGAACAAGATTGGAAAGCCCTACACTTTTCCATGCAAGGTGACAGGTGGCTGTGACTTGTGCTAGTATGTCTCATCCCTGCCCCCAGAGGCACTGGCATCATCTCTGCTCCTGTGCTCAAGAAGCCACTGCTAATGGCCAGTATTGATGACTGCTCCACGTCAGCCAGGGACTGCACTGCTGTCTTAGGCAACTTTGCCAAGGCCACCTTCGATGCCATCTCCAAGAGCAGCTACTCGACCCTCCAACTCTGGAAAGAGACCGCGTTCACCAAGTCTCCTTATCAGCAATTCATTGAGCATCTTATGAAAACCCACAACAGAGTCTCCATTCAGATCGCACAGGCTCCAGCTGTGGCTACCACAAAAGGGGATTTATACAAGAAAAATGAAGTGAACTAAGGCTGAAAAAAATAAAGTCCAAAAGAATACCAAGGCGGTCATAACCCAGGTGGGCCATGAGGTGGCAGCATATGCACTTTGATAGTCCTGATGATGCCCTTCTACCCACACAGCAGGGAACTTCCCCCTCCCCTCCCAGGCAGTCCAATTGCTCAATGGCTCCTCTCCACTTCCTTGTCTTCTCCCTTGCTGTCTCCTGGGTTGCACAACTTCTTCATTATAGAAAATAACCTTCCAAACATAACCTTCCATCAAAACCAACACAGCCTTCGCTGTATTTAGCAAACGTTTATCAGTCTCTCGTATGCAAACCTTATCTAGTGACGAGTTAGCAGATTAATAGAACAGTAAGGGAGACAGACCAAAGGGCCAATAATTACAATGCCAACAGTGTGTTACTTGGGAGAGCCTATTATTTTCTACAAAGGGTTGTAGACTTCAAGGAGATTCCTGTGAAGTGGAGTCAGCCAGCAGGCAGATACGAATTTTTAGTAGGAAGTGAAATGAGGACAAGAGCTTATTCAACACGGGGGGGGGGGGGGGGGGGGGGGGGGGGGGGGCTGGAAAACAGCAGTCAGGACAAGAAAGGGAATAGCACTTTGTCAGCTTGGAAAGTCAAGTTTCCCAGCAATCAGAGATGCCCAGCAGAGGTGCCCAGGTAGACATGAGAGAAGTGTGTAGTGCCTCAGGATGAGAGTTCAGAAGCCAGGTGGCTGAAGGGACCTCCACATGGATGCAGGAGCAGCCTAACGTGCAGTCAGGGCTGGAGGTGGCCTACCACGCTGGTGGCTAGTCAGCAAAGACTTGATGTGGACAGAGCCCAGAGATTGCTGGACAATGGTTTGTAGCTCCTTACCCACCAGCTAGCTCTGGATCTGGATTTCCTAGCACACTTGTCCCCAATGTTCATTCTGAGTCAGTGGTGCAGTAAGATGGCTCTGAGGAGCTATCTGTGGCTGCCTGCAGGCAGGCAGGGTACAGCCTGGGTGGGGTTGGGGCTGAAGGGCAACTTTGCTGAGGCGATGATAACTTCCTCTACAAGAGAACAAGTAAACCAGAAGCCACAAAGGCCCTGGAGCACGCCCTTGTTCCTTCTGTACCACTTCCATTCTGTCCACTCCACCCAACCAGAGCTTCCACTTCCTTCTGTAGGATCTGACCAGTGAGTCTCCCTGACACTCCCCATCCATGCCTTCTCCCCAACCCGCCAGATATAAGCCAGGTCCCATGCCCAGTGCTCCCATCTTGTCTGTCTTCGCTGTCTGCCTTAACTTCCACTGATCTTAGACTTCTGCCAGGACCTGCCTTGCCTATTTTCCCAATGCTCAAGCCCCTCACATGCCACATCAAACCTTTTCAGCAGCCAGAGCTAACCCAGCATTACAGGCTTAGAACAAGAGGCACATCCTGTACACCAGCCCTCTGTCCATCTGAGTACCTTCCACCCAAGCCATTTCCAACCTCTTGGCCCAACCTGCCCAAGCATCATCTCGTCTGTCCCTTCTCTGTCCATATCAGACTTAGAACTAACAAAAGAAGTCCACACGCCCAGATCTCATTGTAGATGTAACCAACCGTCTTATTAAATAAGAAACACAGAGCCGATTCAGAGAAGAAAGCCAAGAGGTCAGAGCTAAGAGCCTCACCCTTCCTGCTTCAGCGATCCTCTTCAGTCAAGAGAGCTCTCCAAAAGGGACCTACTTCCTGTGTGTATGTCTTTATATAGTCTAGCTGTTCTGCCTTCTCATCTCTGAGGCGATGATAACTTCCTCTACAAGAGAACAAGTAAACCAGAAGCCACACAAAGGCCCTGGAGCACCCCCTTTTTCCTTCTGTACCACTTCCATTCTGTCCACCCAACCAGAGCTCCAGGTCCTCTATGGTATTGAGATTAAAGGCATGCGCCACTGCCGCCATGCACTTGCTATGGCTCTAATAGCTCTGACCCCTGGGCAACTTTATTTATTAACATACAATTAAAATCACATTTCAGTACAAGTAAAATACCACCACATCTCATGGCAAAATACCAAGGATGTGAAGCATCAAGCTAACATCTTCTCTCTAGAACCTACCAGTCCTGTTGAAATATTTCCAAATGAGAATTACCTATATGAATGCCAGGACACAGAATTAAAAGAACAATCATAATTTTCATCAAAGAATTCGAGGCATTTAAAGAAGGCACGAAGAAGCAGCTTGGTGGAATTAAGGAGAAAGAACTGAGGGAGAACACACACCTGAGTGGTGCCCAGGGAAAGAAAAACGAGAAGCAGAAGGAAACAAAAGAGACAACACAGGAATTGAGAATGGAACTCAATAGAAGAGGACGCAAGCTGAAATGAAAGTGGAATTGAAAAACCCAATAACTCCACCAGAAAACTCAAAGGAAAGCCACCCAAGTCAAATGAAGCAAGCAGAAGACAGAATATCAGGACTCAAAGATAAAGTAGGGGATCTAGACCAAATAAGCAAAGAATATGGGGGGGAAAAAAAACAGGAAATATAGAATACCATGAAAAGAAACCAAACCTTCAAAATGGGCATAGATGAGGGAGAGGAATCCCAAGCCAATGGCATAAAGCAATTGTCAGCAAGATCATAGAAGATAATTTCCCCAAAGTAAGGAAAGACACACCCATACAGATACAAAAGGCACACAGAACACCAACTAGACAACACCAGAAAAGGAAACCCCCACAGCACATCACAGTTCAAACATAACAAAGAAAGTGTAGTGGTACCCTGCTGAGGCTGCTCCAGAGCAGAAGTTGGCTGCTTCATGATTTTCTGCCGATTCTGGGCCAAGATGGCAACCAACGCTGCTGTAACAGAAAGGGGCAGAGACGGATCAGATCACAGCATACCTCGAGCAGCAGGTTGCTCCTCAAGGAGAAAGCAGTTTTGCAGGCAACTTTGAGAGAAGAAAAGAAACTTCGAGTTGAAAATGCTAAACTGAAAACAAACAGAACTAAAGCAAGAGCTAATCGGGCAGAAATTCAAACTGGAACGATGTAAATACGGGTCCCACCTGGTACCCCGCTGCAAGCTAAGTCTGCGGTTTCTCGAAGTGTGCTACAGTCCACACTGTTAACAACCGCCTCTTCTGGTGCAGAAGAGCAGATTAAAGGAGGAGGAGGAGAAGAAGAAAAGAAGGTGAAAGAGAAAACTGAAATTAAAGGAGAGAAAGGGGAGAAGAGGCCGCTGTTAGCAGCAGCAAGTGCTGACTCTAAGCTCAGAGATGTACAGCGACTAGATCTTCGAATTGGTTCTATCATGACTGCCAAGAAACACCCCGATGCAGAGTCGTTGTATGTAGAGGCAGATGTGGGAGAAGCGACCCCCCACCCCCGAGAACAGTTTCCAGTGCACTGGTGAATCGTGTTCCTCAAGAACAGATGCAAAATCAAACGGTGATTTTTAATTTGTAATCGGAAGCCAGCAAACATGCAGGCAGTATTGTCTCAAGCCATGGAGATGTGTGTGCTGGTCCACCAGAGAAAGTGGAGATTCTGGCCCCTCCCAATAGGTCTGTTCCTGGAGATGGAATTATTTTCATGCTTTCCCTGGAGAGCCTGCCAAGAAGCTGAACCCTAAGAAGAAGATCTGGGAGCAGATCCAGCCTGACCTACACACCAATGATGAGTGTGTGGTCACATACAAAGGGGCTCCATTTGAGGTGAAAGGGATGGGAGTCTGCAGGGCCCAAACCGTGGCCAATAGTGGAATTAAACAAGACAAGTGCTCTGTTACTGAAAGACATTGGAGAAACCTTAATATCAATAAAAAGGAGTATATTTGTCACTTTCATTTAAAAAAAAAAAAGGTGTGGGCTGGAGAGATGGCTCAGAGGTTAAGAGCACTGGCTGTTCTTCCAGAGGTCCTGAGTTCAATTCCCAGCAACCACATGGTGGCTCACAGCCATCTACAATGAGATCTGGTGCCCTCTTCTGGCCTGCAGGCTGAACACTCACTGCATACATGATAAATAAATAAATCTTTAAAAAAAAAAAAGAAGGTGTATTAAAAACTTAAAAAAAAAACTACAAGTCCACACATAAAGCAAAACCCATCAGAGTGACAGCTGATTTTCCAATGGGAATTTTGGACACCAGAGGAGCCAAGACATTCCAAGTCCTAAAAGATTATGACAGCCAGCCTAGAATAATACACCCAGCAAAACTATCTGCCAACCGCTGAGGAAATATCAGTGAGATTACATCGAATTAATATGCTTCTGAAAAGCAAAGGAAACAGCAGTGAAGTAGCAGTCTTCATAGTGAGAGGAAATATTTGCCAGCTACTCATCTAACAAGGGATATACAAAAAAGTGGAACAACTAACTATCAAAAGGACAGATAATCCAGTCGGAAACTGGGCAAATTCACTGAACAGACATTTTTACAGATGAGCAAGTACAAACAGCCAATAAATGTATGACAGATATTCATATCACTACCCATTTCAGAACTGCAAATCAAAACTCCTAATTCCATCTCACCTCAATCACAGAAAATACCATCAAGAAAACGAGCAACAGCCAAGCATGGTGGCACACGCCTTTAATCCCAGCACTCTGGAGGCAAAGGCAGGTGGATCTTTGTGAGTTCAAGGCCAGCCTAGTCTACATAGGGAACTCCAAGCCAGCCAAAGCTACAGAGTAAAACCCTGTCTCAAAAAAGTAAGCCAACAAGAAACAAAAGAGGCAAAAAAAAAAAAAAGAAGTGTTGGAATGAATACGAACAAAGGGAAACTTGCTGGGAATGTAACTTAATCCAGTCACCATGAAAATCAGCATGGAGGTTCTTTGTGAAGATACCATATAGCCCAGCCTTGCTATTCCTGATATATAGCCAAAGGAATCAAAGTCATCAAACAATAGACATACCCGTACATCTATGTTCATTGTGGAATTATTCACTATAGTCAAGATATACAAGAAGCCTAGGTGCCCTTCAATAGATCAATGGATAAAGAGAATGTGGTATACACACACAAGCAAACTTTATTCAACCATAAAGAAGAATTAAGTGTACCATTTACAAGAAAAATAGTTGGAACTAGAGGTTACACAAACTAGACCCACAAGAAAAGCATTGCATGTTCTCTCCCATATGTGAAGATGAAGGGTGAGAGAAACAAGACAGGAAAGGGACTGTGGGTGGAACCCATGCTGCTGCCCAGTCTGCGGCCCCTGGTAGGCTACTAAAGAAACTTTGCTTTCTGACTCATGATCTAAAGGATGAGTTGATGAACCACTGCCCCCAGAAAAGAATGTGAAAGAGGACTGTCGGAAAAGTAGAAGGAGTGAAAGGAATAGAGAAAGGGGGATAAGAAAAGGGAATAGAGGGAAATTTTTTATCAAAGTACATTATATGCATTATAAAAATGTTAAAATGAAACCCATTGCTTTATGTAATTAATATAGGTTAATAATCATTTTTAAAACAGCTGTCTTCTAGGATGTAAGTTCCTAGGGGACATGAGTGACAGCTGGAGCAGGATTTGGAAGAGTGACACAGAGAGCCCTGGAGTCACACTTGTACTGATGATAGATCCTCACTCAGATGCAAGAAGGGAACGTAGTAGTAAATGCCTTTAAACACGAGCTGGGGTATCTGAGTTCAGTCCCTGCAAGGTCACAGGCCAGCTAAAAAAGGTCTTGTTCAGGTCCCCTTCTGGACAACAGATTCATATACGGTGGGAAAGAGTTGCCACCTCTGAGGATGCTCCCAACACTAATTCCACTCAAGAACTTCATGACAACCCCTCACCCTTCCCAATGGGAGCAGGAAAACACAGGAGAAGGCTCAGTCCCCCATAAACTCAGGGGACAGAGTGTCCACATAGCAAACAAAGACAGAGCGAGATGACCATTATGGATCCCCTAACACCCTTTGTATATTACAAGTCGGGACAGGGTAGTGAGGAGTGTCAGAGGTGTGGCAGGCAGGCTGTCTTGCTTAAGATGGGCATGGGGGGTTGGACAGAAGGGAAGTGGGCCAACTAACCAGTTTCCTCCCAAACAAGCTCCAGGGCTGGGAATTTTGAAAGAAAAAAAAAAAAGCAAAAAGAGTTGTGTGAACATTTCCTGCTCCACCCAGCTCCCTCACTGGCAGGGTTACCACACTGCTCACCTGTGAAGCAATCTTTCCCAGGGATGACCATGTGTCTAGCAAGGGGCTGCCTATAAATACTGGGCTTGCTCTGCTCTTGCCAAACACGCCGTAGCTCTTTAGCTTTGGTAAGTGAACTTCATCTTCTCCGGAGAAGAGCCTGCCTGCTAGATCTTTCATTCCTTCCCTTGGCCAACTTTCTTCCAAGCCCTCCTCTAGAAGCCCTCCTTGGCTGACCCTATCCATTTTATATCTTTATATAAGAGTGTTGGACTATAAAATATTTTGCCTTTTTACATTCCGTACTGTTCTTTTTATTTTGTGTTTCCCCTCCCTTTCCGTCTGACAGTGGCCAGAGACCAGGCCAGGGAGGCTGGATGCTGATCCTACCCTTTTATTTGTAGTCTTTGTTTTCCTTCTTCCAGAGAGGAGCAGGAAGATGGCCACCAAAACACCATCTGTGATGGAGCGCAACATCAACACCATCATCGACGTCTTCCACCAGCACTCTAGGTTGGGAGGAAACACAGACACCCTGAGCCAGAAGGAATTCAAAAAGATGGTGGAAAATGATCTGGCAAACTTTCTGAAGGTGAGGCTTGGTTGGTAAGGGAGGAGGGTGCACTCTCTACACAGTCAGGGAGACAACCCCACCCTCCACCAGAGGCAGTGGAGTTCTGTCACTAGAGGTAGTCAAAGTTAGACATGTGTCAGGAGATTGTTCAGTTGAACACCTACAATGTGTGGTACCCGATTCTGGGTAGAGGGATGTAGAGATGATTCTGGACTCCGTTATCCCAGGGGTGGTGACACATAACCTTGAGGACACAGATAAACCCAATAGCCTGGGAGTCAGGAGGAGCTGAAGAGTTCTGTGGGTAGTCTGTGCTGGGTACAGCAGGATGGGGTAACTGGCTATGGTTTAAAACAAATTAATAAAAGGACCTCCCCTTGGAGGGGGTAAGACTTTAGCTGAGTCCCTGGTAAAAGACTCACGGGATGTTAAAACAATGAGAATTATGGCAGGTTCAGTCGGTTCCTGGAGAAGGAAGCTGAGACCAATCACCATTTAGAACGGGCTTTATTAGGAGAGAGAGATTCACGATGATGGAGCCATGATCCAGTCTTTAGGTGAGAGAGCATTATATGCATTATGAGGACACTAAAGAAAAGAACATAAAGTGAAAGAAAGGAGAGATGGCCACCATGGACAGCACAGGAGGGAGCCGCCAGGAGGGAGGGAATATGTATGTGCGTCAAAGTCAGAGAAAACCTTTTTTTTTTTTAATAACTTCTCCCCAGGGGAAGTGAGAAGCTTGTCCAAATTACGGTCATCCCATGTGGGCTGGTCCCATACCCCCTTGGGACCAAGGAAAACTGGAGAATTGTCATCGTGGGAGGTATTAGGGACACACATCTCCTCATAAGTGGGCATATCAGGCAGTGGTGCCAGGTAGACCGAGGGTGTACATGAAGCTATGCTGGCAGGTGTCTCCCCTGTGATCCCTCCACGGATTCTAAGCCCTATCTTGACATCCTCTGACAGAAGCAGAGTGATGGGTCAATGGAAACTAGGACATCAAACACGAGCTACTCAGGTTGTGGGAGGGGGCGTTGCTTACTCAAGGTGTCCCAGCAACTGAGTGGAAGACTTGCAGCCAGCTCATGCATCAGCTGCCAAATCTTGATCCTTCCCCTTTATCTGAATCTTCCCCCACACTTTATCACACCCTTTGGGGTCAGCAGAGCATGGTTTGGCCCTTAAAGATCCCATGGTTTCCTGGGTGTCTCCCCCACCAAGCCTAAATAAACTTTACCAACTAGTTAGCTCCAAGGAAAGGACTGGAGTGGGGACAACTGAGAGGCTGAGAGGAGTGGGAGGGGGTACACAATCCTCCAAATCAGATTCAGATTTACACCCCCTCTCTTCTCCTCCCAGCCTCCATAACCTGTAAAAATGATCTACCTTTTAGACGGCCATTTCCCATTTCTATCTATAAAGTAGTTATAAAGATGAATGAGAGATGTTTCTAGACTTACTAATTGCTTGACCTTCTATAGAGTGGAGTCCTAGTGTCCAAGGCAGAGGGCTGTCTGGGGAACAAATTAGAAAGTGTTTATACATGTTTAGCATCTGCTCCATCATGAACACTCAGTACATTATTTTTATTTCTAAACCTAAACGCTGGGGCCAAATTTTCCTATGCGTTTACCATCTAGTCACTCATTGTGTTCCAGGGTCCTCTTCCCTGGCTACCCTCAGCTCTAACAGTCTCCTCTATTTCACCCACAGGAGGAGAAAAAGGATGTAAAATTCATAAAGGACATCATGGAGGACCTGGACACAAACCAGGACAAGGAGCTGAACTTTGAGGAGTTTGTGATGCTGGTAGCAAAGCTGGTCTTTGCCACCCATGAGAAGATGCATGAGGGACACCCACGTGGGAAAGATCACAGCCATGGTTTAGGCTTTGGGAAGTAATTAGGAGACCAGCCACCTTGCACCTGGCCAAACAAGGCAAAAGAGAATGTCTTATCAAATGGCCTTGGTTATGGGGTTGGGAAACGATAAAAAAAAATAAAGTCTTTATCCATTCCAGTGATCTGCATGTTGTTTCTGCCTCCTTCGTGCCTGTCCTTCCCAGGGGTCCGAGTGATAAACAGCTCTGCCCTTGTCTGAAGCTCAAGCCCTCCATTTAATCATAAGAAGAAAAAAAAAAAAAGAGCCAGCAACCTGTGTCCATCTGAACCACTGAGGCTTACCTCCCTCACCATGTCTCTATCTTTGATGTTAGGCCTTACCTCTCAGATCATAGTCCCTCTGTCCAGTTTGTCAAATGGCTCTTGTCACTGTAGAAAACCAAAACGTGTGGTCCCTTCCCCAGACGTCTTCCTGCCTACTTCTCTTATTGCTGTATTCTCCTGCCCCCCCTCCCCGTCTCTCCTGATTCCCATCCCCCTCCTCTCTCTCCTTCCCCTTTGGAAAGTCTTCCCCAAATGGACCTAAACTGTTCCATGTCTGGGGAGCTGTACTGAGTAAGGATATATGGAACACAGGCAGACACATACAAACTCTTTACTGGATACAAGAGGGCATGCAACTCTCCCAATAGACATAGAATCCTAAGTGTGTGTGCTGATGGGTTGCTGTGGTCCTCACATGGATGAAATTGGCAGTTACCCCCAAGTCTACCATGGTTGAAGCGAGATGGTGTGGTGAAAACACTCACTTGCCAGTAAAGGCGATAAGCTCCCCTGGCTCTTCATTTCAAATTCCCTGGTTCCTATACAGGGCTTGGACTTGGTTCACAGAGCCTGTGGAGCCTGATACTTGAAATCATAAGCTACAAGGTCAAGATGATCTCCACAGGATGGAGGAAGCTCTTCCAGTCCCTAGTCAGTGGCCAAGAGTTCAGGCCAGCAAGGACAAAGGCTCCAGTTTGTGAATCCTGTTCCATCTCCCTCGGGGCTGCTGTCACTGTCCCTACTCCATTCAGCCTCTGCATTCCCATCTAAGAGTCAAAGTCTTGGTTATGACTAAACAAGAAAGGTTAGAAAAGCCTAGAGCCATAAGATGCTGGAAGCAGAGGTTCGCACACAGAGGAAGCAGAGCCATCGTGGCAAATGACTAATTGAGGCAGCTTTGAGGCCACACCAACTACTTAGAGACTTGGCCTCTGGTAAAGGGCAGACAGGATGGACATTCCTAGTGTCGAGAGTGCTTCTCTTGTCTCATGTCTCTGTGTACTCTGAGTGTGGGTGGCCATTCTAGAATCCAGGCCAATAACTCAGAGCAACCCAGTTTTGCAGAGTCCCTTAGGATTTTCTGTAAATAGCAGTCATGGTGACTGAGTCCCCTCCTTCCCAGTAGGAAAAAAAAAAACTGGTCTGTTTAATAAAGGGAAAGAGCTCCTCTCAGATCTAGACCTGTCTTCATGAGTGTTACTGTTTTCAATACAAAACCACAGCTCTCATCTCTAGGGAGTAAGAGACAGTTTATTCTGGAGTCATGTTGAGTGACCATGGCTGGGAACGCAGATTTGAGCTACTCCAAATTCTGTGTTCCAAAGTGGAAGTAGTTCCCTGAAGTTTCAGTTTTATAAAACAAAGGAGATCATAAATAGCTGTGTCTAAATCTGATCTAGGTCCTGTGTGGATCAGGAAGTCTCTAGAGTTTTGGAACAAAATTAATTTCCTTATCCATTTACTTTTGGGGCCACTGGTTCTTTCAGGATACATTAATTGGATACTTACTGAGTGCTAGGCACTCCAGAATACCCCAAGGAGCCACTGCACTGAGTAAGGCTTGGCCAGGAGCCCCAAGGTCTGTAGGGAAGACCAAAGAGGACCTTGGGTCTTCTGGTATGAAAAGGGAAAAGTCAAGGGATGTGACACTAGGTGGGACCTTGAGGCTGGAATGGCACCCATCTGTAGAGTTGTCTCCCCAGAGGGGAGGTGGCTTTTCTCCAATATCAGAATTTGCCAATACATCTACTACTACCCTTAAAAAACTGAATTGCAACCTGAGATGGTCAGTCTTAGCTGGTGAAGTGCACTCAAATGTTTCTGAGAACTGTTTTCATTTTCTCTTTTCCTTTTTCCTACCTTCTTTCTAAAACAAAAACAAAACCAAAACAAAGGGGAAAAAAACAGTATCTTGCTGTGTAACCCAGGCAAGCCTCAGACTTGCTGTGGTCCTCCTGCCTTAGCTTCCTGAGCACTGGGATTTTTACAGGTAAGCCACCAAGCCTAGCTAGAAGGAGTGAGAACCAACAGGCACTGAGGCTAAGAGCAGCAGACATCTCAGGACAGACACAAGAATGCTTCAGAAGAAGACCTGGGTGTGGCCTGTGCAAGACATATGGGGGAAAGAGGTGAAAGTTACCGAGACAAACAGGACAGATAGGGAACCAAGGAGTTCACTCTTCAGTTGGGAGAGCAAAGGGCAGACACAGCAAAGGATGCGGGAAAGGGAATTCTAGCATCATAGTTGTGCTGTGGACATGTAATGCCAAGGTTTATGGGATAGACTAGGGGTAACAGGAGGCCACAGGCACATGGCCTGTTAGGAGGCGGTGACAACAGCATCGTCTGGCTGAGAGCTTAATAGACCCTGTCGTGGTTCCACTCAAAACACGCCTATTTGGTCAGAAGATAGAATGTTCCTCAGTTAGAGATGGTACAACATGAAGGTCCTGTTGAGATGAGCCTGATAGCAATGACAGGGAACAGACACTGTGACTCTCATCCAGACTATCAAACTACCGAAACAATGCACCCCAAAATGGGAAATTTCCCAGGAATCCCATACTGCGAGAAGGAAACTGTCCCAGCCACAGGGGGACTCTGTGTGTAGGAGAGAGATTTTACACTGCTAACAACTCGTCATACTGCCTTACAGAATGAGACTGAAGCCCAGGGCAGGACCACATCGAGACCTGTGTGCTGAGATGTGCACATCCTCTTCCTGTTATTTAAATTTGAATCTCACTTTGGGGCCCAGAACATGGACTTGGGTGTTCGCTGGGACCCCTTATCCCTCTTTGCAATGTGGCCACGTTGAACGAATCTCTTCTTGCTGCTTTCCAATATCAACGTGACCCTTCTGATTGGCTTATCGAGGAGGGGCAGCAGAACCTGGCTCAGGCTCAGATTACCACCCTAAGTTTGATACTCTGGATGAGTAAATTACTGTCATTTTGTCCCGTTTGCCAAGACCTTGCGGGGAAGAGGCCTCTGTTTTGAGCAGTCCAGTGAGGCAATCTTACACAACCCCAGAACCCAACCTCAGAGTCCTGCTCACCCCACCTCCCAGAGTTGCTTAAAATTTATATTTTAGAAAGCACCGTGTCATGAATTTTGACATTCCAATTACCAAGACAAGAGCAGGAATGATGTAACGGTTGCTCAAGTTTCTTAGGCTCATGTTTGTCTCAAGACCAGGTGGACTTGGCCCTGTTAGAGATATCCCCCTCAAGAGACAGAGAAACAGGCCCCAGGAGAGAAACTGTGGGCCTCTCACAGGTTTCTCTCCCTTTCTATTGCCCATTCTCCAGTGTTTGCCTTCACAGCTGGAAACTGCAGGTGCAGACCCCACAGCAGGACTCAGGGAGCTGGACAGCAGGGGCAGGACAGCAGGGGCAGGACAGCAGGGGCAGGACAGCAGGAGCAGGACAGCAGGGGCAGGCACAGCAGGGGTAGGACAGCAGGGGGGCATGATCCCCAGGGCCCAGAGCCTAGGGCAGCCCCACATTAATGTCAGTCTCTTTCTCTCTCTCTCTCTCTCTCTCTCTCTCTCTCTCTCTCTCTCTCTCTCTCTCTCTCCTCCAATCGCACCTCTTTTTCCCTCTGTCTTCTCTGTTTTTTTCTCAGAGCACCATCTCACTCCACTGCTTTCTGACATCCTACACTCCCTAGTGAAATGCAACCCTCTGCTGTGAGGGTGCGGGCGGGGGGGGGGGTCTTTGTAAAGTCCTTATGATCATATCTAACCATGAACAACTTCAAGCACAGGATTTAGCTCCCAAGTCTCCTCATAACAGAGAAAGGGACAAATCACCAGAGGGAAATCCAGTTATGTGTCACTTAAAAGTATTGGATGATTGGCTGTTGTGTGAACATCATAGAGTGTGTCTGATACAGAAGAAACTCAAAGTAACAGAATTGATGTCATGATAGATTTACCAATAGATTCGCTTAGGACACATTAAATCACACAACATAGAATTTAACTAAGGGAGTGCTGCCTCCTAAACACCCCAAAGATGATTAGTCTTCCCACCAGGCCTGTTAGAGCTAAACAAAATTTAGGATGCTAGGATATAAATGTTTGTTCACCAGGACTGACCAGATGTTTCATCCATCCCCAAAGAACACACCACTGACAGGCAGCTCAAGGGGGCACCCACAGAGTTACAATGACCATCAAGTCCTGGTCTGCCATTAAGATCCCTTTTTCCCTATCAGGAAAAATATAGTTCTACCTGGTGGGCAAGATGGAGCTGCGTGACAACTATCCAAAGTGAACAGCTCTGGTGTGCTTAAGAAATAATTCAGTAGCCAGGCAGTGATGGTGCACACCTTTAATCCCAGCACTCGAGAGGCAGAGCCAGGCAGTTCTCTGTGAGTTCAAGACCAGCCTGGTCTACAAAGTGAGATCCAGGACAGGCACCAAAACTACACAGAGAAACCTTGTCTCAAAAAAAGAAAGAAAGAGAGAGTGGGGGAGGGAGAGAGGGGGGAAAGGAGAGAGAGAGGGAGAGAGAGAGAGAGAGAGAGAGAGAGAGAGAGAGAGAGAGAGAAAAGGAAGGAAGGAAGGAAAGAAAGAAGGAAGAAAAAAGAAAGAAAGAAAGAAAGAAAGAAAGAAAAAAAGAAAGAAAGAAAGAAAGAAAGAAAGAAAGAAAGAAAGAAAGAAAGAAAGAAAGAAAGAAAGAAAGAAAGGATTCAGCTTTGTTGTGTAAATTTCCCAACTGCCCAAGTGGCCAGACTTGCAGTCTCCTGTGTCTGTTCAAATTGTCCAAAGTAGGACCTGGGGCTGGGACTTAATGGAGACTGGAGGATGGCAGTGGACATAAAATGCATGAGCCTCAGGTGTACTTAAGTT